AACAAGTAGAAACTTTAATGAAAATCAACACCTTAGAATTAGTTATTTTAGTTTTAGTATCAACATATATAAGCAACGTATTGACACAGATAGTTATATCAATACCTATTATAGTACAACTGACAACAACATCGACGATAATCACTCCAATATCTACAACAATCCAAACTACAGTAACTCTATTCAAACCATTGGAAACACCAATTATAGCAACTCCAGATCCCAACAATTCTGCTAACAACAATAATAGCCTTTTAACTATTATTGAAATATTAGGAACCACATTAACCATATTGACTACTATTGTAACTATATTAATATTCTGTATTAAGAAAATACAAAAAAAGAAAAGAAACTATAAAAACAAATTAAACGAAAAACCACAATTACCAGTATCTAGACCTACTGAGCAACAAGCAACACCTTTTACAAGACCACCAGCCAGAACACTTAATCAAGAACAAGTTCAAAGTTTAGCCAACAATATAAGAGACAACCAACGCAACAATAGACAATTCCAAGGAATAGGAACCAGATTATCACAACAACCTCAATTAACCAGACGAATAAGACAAGGCAAATTTAAACGAGTACCAACACCACAACAATCACAAACAGAACAAACAGATTCTGACAATTGGTTCACTGATGCTTCATATAACCAACCCTTTCTTTAAATGCAATTGAATAAGAAACATACTATTATTACATCTTTATCAATTATCTTTGCTATTATACTTACTATAATTCTTCTATGGGAACCACCCCAGACACAAGTAACTATAACTGAAATTGTACTGATAATCACAGTTATAACAGGATTAAGATTAGTAGCATACACTACTCTACAACTTATTATTGTTAATGAAAACAACTAAAACTCCAATTATTATCTGCAACAATACTATACTCCAACCACCTGCATCAACATTACTGTTAATACTAATATTCACTATACTTTTGTGGATATTGACTATAATTACCATTTGCTGTATTCAACAAAGAAGTAAGAAACGCTTATACAAACAAAATCCTAACTTAGCCTACTACCAACAAGAATCTACAGGCTGTTGTTAAAGAAACTAATGACCACTGCAATACCCATATCTCCACCTGATACTACCACTACAATAATTATTACTGCAACAATTATTGGAACTTTTTTAATAATATCTATTATCATTGCAACTATTATATACCATATCTGCCATAAACAGAAAATCAGAAACTGACAAAAGAAACAAAATAAACAAGTACAACTCGGAAACATATACCAACAACCAATACCAATATCTCTACAACAGGATGAAAACCTATTTGATGGACAATACAATTAATGTTTTGTATCTTCGGCCAGAAGAAGAAAAGAAGCATTAAAAGAAAACAAGTATATAAACAAAGAAGAAACTTCAATATTACAAATCAACAACAATTAATTAATAACGAATTAAAAAGAAATACTCAAGACATATATTTTCTATTCGGAGACACATCCAGAACCTAATGAAACTATTATTAATATTACTATTGATCTTAATATTAGTAATATTAGTTGCAGGACAACAATTTACATTTATTATACTAAATATACCAATACCAACATTAACCGAAATAATTACAGAAATCATTATAGCAACACCTGTAATTACAACAATACCTACCACAGTAATTGAAACCGTAACAGCAAACGTAACCCAAATACCAAGTTACTTTAACGATTCAAATATCGTAACCCAAGATATTGCAACAGTTATAGCAATTATAATTATCGCAAGAGTAATAGCTTAAGTAAAATACCAAGCTCATATCCAAAAGAAACTCAATATACAACAACAATTCAAAGACAAGAAGAAATAATTAATAATACAATCACACCTATAACAAATGTTTAACAAAGAAACCCGATATAAGGATACAGAAAACCAACCTTATTATTTATACCAAACAGTAGATGGAATACTTGAAGAACTGGAAGAATTAAAAAAGAAGCAAAATCAAACTGAAAAACAAGAAACAGAATATAAATATATAGAATTATCAAAAGAAGAAGAAGTAATTTATTACAAAAGCAAAATAA